TTTTTTAGAATTCCATCATTATAAATAGAAACCATCAATCTGGGAGTGTTAATGGTGTCAGATTTATTAAAACCATTTATAGGGTTAGCGTCCCATTCCCACATTGGCGACACATTACTTGATCATTGTCTAGTTGCAACACTGGTCTTCGTCTCTCTTTGTCTATCTTAAAGAGACAGTATATAACATGCTCTTAGGGGTCAAATAAAGTCATTTTAATAACACTCTTCCTGCCTCTGACACGTGTACGAACCACCTGAGGCTCTAATTTAAACAAAAATGCGCTGCTATGCTATGTTTTGTAAATGATTAAAAAAGCATTGAGACAAGACCAGCTGAAATTCACCTAACAAACTGGCAACCCAAATGATTAATACTGCTTTCTGATTAAATAATCTGCTACTATGGCGATCACGTCCATTGTATTTTAAATTAGCAATACCTACTTTATAATGGTGAAGTGTGACATGCACATGGGACCTGTTATCTGGAGACACATGTGAAAGCTGTAGATGTAATTTAAAATGAAAATATGACATACCGTCCCTTTAAATTCAATATTCTATGTTGGCCCATAATTAATTCTTTATAACATACATGATTATAATCGTTGTAATGCAACATGTTCCCCATACATTAGGCCTTGAAAAAAAGGATAAAAGACAGAATAAAAACTATTCCATGTTTTAAAGTTTATTTTGTAGTTTTCCCTTGTTCCCTTCATATTCCTCACAGCTCATGAAAAATTATCATTTTCCTTTTGTTCTCTTTTTTCATGGTAATGCAACAAAAAATCACAATAATCCAGCAAATATAGCGGTAATACATTCCAAGAAAAGAACAGGAGTAAAATGAAGAAAAAAAAATCTTAAAAAGAAATGTACAAATTAGACGCCTTGATCCCCGTAGGGCAATTCAATCCTCTGCATTTGACCCATCCTGATGCCACTAAGGCTTACGTCAGGAGCAGTGGTCGCCGTAGTAACAGCGCCCGGGAACCCATCTCCAGATGTTGATGCTCGGCTTGGTCAGGACTACTAGAGCTGGAGGATTTAACCTAATGAGCATATTTTTAGTGGTAGGGGAAACCGGAGTACCTGGAGGAAACCTACACAGGCACGGGGAGAACATGCAAACTCCAATCAGAAAGACCCTGTTCCGACCGGGATTCGAATCCAGGACCTTCTTGCTGAGAGGCGAGAGTGCTATCCACTCAGCCACCGTGCCGCCCTGGCCTTAGCCAAAAATAGCTCAAACCAGATAATATCAACATTGTAACCCTAAAAATGCTTTAACCTCCACCATGTCATAGAGATTTCAAGTCTACATCATAAAATACATAAAATCATGGTGGTGTATAATATTAATGCAATAATAAATATGCCTGTAGCAACTTGAGTGGAAACAAGTTAGAACCATTACATTAAATGACATGCACATTTCTCACATGTTGTTATGAATATTAAGCTAACACTCCTAGCCTCACCCTACAGCGGCTCAGCGCACGGCACAGTGGGACCTCAGCATTGGCACTAGGTTCTTCCAATGTGTGTGCATAATTATATGGTTTAAATCAACTGGCAACACGCATTTGCATTTGTGGCTTATTTCTCATTCTCTTTCTGGGAAAAAAAAGCAGGGGAGATTTTGTATTGACGAAGAGAGCAGAAACAATTACACAGACCGTAAAACACCTCGGATACTTCCCTGGACGCTACATGCACTGTTCTTTTCCGAAGTGTGAAAAAAACATGTTCCATACAGAGAGGGCAGAATAAGCTATTGACGTCATTTTTTGAAAATATTTGAAGAGGGATTACGCTTAAAATAGGGCCCGGAAATATGCATTAGCACCAGTGAAGAGCATGGACCCCCTAAAGACTGGCTGTGGTGATGTAAGGCTTTAAGTCCAAGGTAAAGCAAGGGGATGTGTTTTATCCTGCTTCTCCAGAGGATGCTCCGCTAATGAGATTTTCCAGAGTCCAGAGTTCCAGAGTTGGGATGATCCTCAGTGGAGCGTTAGACATATATGTTTAATAAATTACAGGTTTAGATTGCTTCAAGCTGGGATATGTTTTCAACTACCAAGATAAAACGCAACTAAATGCTCTGTATTTGCACATGCAGGAGGAAATTAATGACATTTGTTAACATTTATGGGCATTATTGGTCGCCCCACTTCCTGCGGCTCCTATGAGTTTGTTATTATTACATGTCCTGTGTGTGATTCTTTGATGTTGTTGGTGAATCGACAACTTTGTAAAGTCCTCCGAGATGACCACTGTTTGTCGCATCTTTAAATCTGCTTTTTCAGTCTGAAACGGTGAGAAGAGAGGACCACCCTCACTCAGACGATCAGCTCTCAGCTCTCAAGCCTTAAATAGAGACTCACAGCGTTCGTTCTTGCAAGTGTGAAAAATATAACCTGTTTTCTAATAAGATGAAGACGACGTGTTGTGGTCTGAATTTTTACTAGACTCTTTCTGTTCGAACAAACAAGTAGATGTATTACTTATGAAAAATAATTAGGTCCCCAGTGTTAAGGTAGTGAATAGTAAAGATTTCCCGTTCCATTGTAGATTATTTTGCCAAGTCGTTTTAAACTTGTGGGTGTATGAGACTGCTTTAAAGTTCAGCAGAAAGACAATTTTCTCAGTCATAAAAATCTCGGGTTATTAAACTAAAAATCAAGAAAAGCAGATGGATGAATGGACTTCTGCATCATGTAGATTTATCTTATGGTGACCACATCAACTCCTGAACTCAGAGCCAAAACAATTGGATCGATTCTCTCTCAAATACTTTTCCACATAAACAGCAGTTGAGGCGGCTCGGCATCTTTTTCCTCGGTGGGAAGGTAGTCCGGGAGCGTCCCACTGGGAGGAGTCCAGGGCCAGGACCCAGGACACATGCTGTCTCTCGCTGTCTCTGGACTGGGACCGCCTCAGGATTCCCCCAGATGAGCATTAGGTCTGGCCGCCCTCACGATAAAGCGGGAGAAATGAAATCATGGATGGACACGTCCATGATTTCCACACGTCCGTGGCCTACACGTTTGAAACATCGAGCATAATTTACCACTTTGACATGTCGCAAATACACAAACTCCAAAAAAAGGCAACTTCCACCATTCGTTGTTAATCAGAAAGCAACATTACAAACACAAAATCTGTCTGTTCCTTTGACTTTGAAATTATTTAAATTACATTTTGCTTTGTTCATGTTTTTTGAATAGCTTTCAGAAAGTCCTTCTCATTCTACCTGTGACGCAATCTCCCGGATAACCAAAGATTGTGAAGTGTCCTCTTTTACACATTGAGCCTAAAGAATGGGACTCCAATCAGACCTGGCGCCCGCTGCTGCAACAACATCTCAACCTTTGATGAAGAGCCCGAACTGAAAAGACACAATGGACTATGGCTGATAGAATTTCTCGGTTAATATTTTGCCGCTCTGAAAATTGCTTTTATTGCTGTAGGCGGGTGTTTGTGACCTCTGCATTAGTCCGGCCTGCTCTTATTTGTTGTTCATTCAGACATTGCATTGCTTTCATAGGTGCACTGTACAGTACGAGGAGAGGCGGAACAACTAACCGTGATTGATAGAGTTCGTTTCACAACTCAATGGGTTTTTTTGCAAATGCGTTCTGAGTCTTTATTATGTCATGCGTTATGCTCCGACAGTTTTGTTTGTTCTCATTTTTTTCCTCTCCAAAATGCAATAAGTGGAGCCAGAGAGAAAGTTTAATCACGGAGTTATGAAGCGGCGCCAAGCGAGAAAAATGCTGCTTTTGAAAATTAAATGGAACGAACGAACGGACAAATAAATGCATGTGTGTGTGACGTATTATTAACAATAACAAAACAAATGAGTACACAATTTATTCCTGTTGTTTTTAATTAATATAGTGTTTTGTAGACTCGCCTATGGGTTGCAAAGTTGGACAGAAGTTGGTTTGCTGTTTCTGCCAATTCCAAACCATTGGTAATAACATAACATTATAGTGGCTTTGTTCCCCACCGGCTTTAGAGGGATTTTCACTTTGTTGTTAATAACGATGTATTTAATTAGGACCCAGAACATGTATTATTAGGAGTGTGCTTCCCTGGTATGTTATTCAAATGTGTTTCTACTGTAGTTCAGGGGCAAATCCGCCATTATTTGTTTGAGTTGAAATAGCAAACTGTATACATTCACTCACATTGGAAACTTGTGAAATATAGGTATCAGCAGTAGTTATAGGAATGTGACAAGTACTTTTACTCGTACTAGTACTAAATAAATGAGATAAGATAGACTTTATTGAACTCACAATGGAGAAATTGACATATGGCATACAGTAAATAGGATCTCTCAGGGTAGGCAAAAGACAGGAATACTGCAGACAGGGAATGTGCAAACATGTTAAAAAAGTGAAAAATATCTCTTTTATGAATTACCATTACACATTTTCAAATTTCATATCCTTTGTCTTTTGTTTGTTTCCCAATCCCTCCAATGCAATGTTTTGAAGAGTGACTTTATACAAGATTTTTTCATGGGGGTTTTGAAAAAGTTGGAGTTTAAGGGCTTACTTATAAAGTCTTAAATCTGGTCCTGCACATCAGCTTGAAAATAAAAAACAGTCTAAAACTTATTATACATATTCCTATACAAACTCACCATATCATTACAACCCAAGGATAATGTCTTTGTTGCTTGCGCTTCAAAAACAAAACAAAAAAGCATTGGGGCATTTCTCCTAAGATTATTTACAGGTTATCCACAAATTACTTCAGTTGCGGCTGCTTTTCTAAACTGTGTGTGAGTATTTTTGTGTGTTTAATTACTAACAGGCTTGAATTGGACGTGCCCGCCTCTGCAGAACCCTGTGATATAACGATTGCCCAGACTTTCTGATCTCTCCCACTGTAGAGAGAACACACGCTGCACCCTGGTGGCCACAATGAAGAACTTTTTTAATTCATGTTTTTTTATTTATATAGATTTTTTAATGTTGTTTATCCGTGTAGGTGCATGTTTGCTTTTCCCTCAGAGGACCACACCGCTGAAGATTTCTCCAGAGGTAAAGCAGGCGGCCAAGAAGTGCCTTTGTACAGACACGCCAAGACCTGGTGGATACTGCTCATGATGGTGAACAGCATGATCATACAACCTGGCAACACACACATCATAAAAAATACATATATTGCGACGATGATAATATATGTTTATAGCTAAAAACGCCATAATTATAGTGGATTTATTATGTGAGGTTTAAGACAAACAGCAATGATTTATTATGTGGTTATTACAAGACGTGTTACTATGTTGAAATACCATACAGTATGTAACTGATATTTAAATTTTTTTCGATGTAAGTTTTTCTTATGAGAGTAGAAAGATTTTGGGTGTTTTCTTTGTAATAACATCAAATTCTAGCTTGGTTTAAGTCACTTTATAGTTATTAAGCAGGAGGGTCTGTTAGTCTAAATATATAAATAAATACATAAAAAATATATAAATAATAATAATGATAAAAAAAAAAAAAATCTTCCAAAAAATTAAATAAATAAATAGCTTATTTTAATGATAGATGAAATAATAATATTGTACAGTATACATTATATCAATCATATTCCGGCCATCAACAATTATAAAAGTCATATATATACAATTATGTTTCGTTCCAAAAATCCATTGCTATCGTTCCCTTCTTGTTATTCTCGATACGTTTTTCAATTTCCACTTCTTACCGCAGTAGATGGTGTTGACCGTGACGTTGCTGAATTGAAAAGTCCTGGTGAATATTGCTCCAAGACCCAGGATAAGAATTGGGTAAACTGTGAACGTGTAGCGCATGTGTTTGAGGTAAAACACACTCTGGAGAATAAACCTGCAGGAAAAGTCAAATATGAGAAGAACAAATGATCAGTTATAAAATATATATTGCGTTCTTTTCGCCGTGGCAAGAGCTCTGGTTTGTACTGGTGCACACTGAAGTAGTCTTGCACAGTTTTTCCAATGTGGTTTTACTGCAAATGGCAAATAAATGCTTGTATCTTGTATGTTGTGATGACAGAAATGTGTCTTTGGTTTTCAGGTACACGCCCATTCGGATAAACATAGATAGTGTTATAATTCTTACCAGATAACGGCAGACAATAGGACAGCGGTGAGGACAATGGTGCTGGCTGTGGTGTCCGGGACTCCAGCCTTGTATTTGAGCACGAGGCCAAAGTGAATAGCAGCGATCTGCAGAGTCCACCAGGCGAACAGGGCCAGGCCACTCTGCGTCTGGGAAGGTAAGGCAAGTTTTTTCGTATGGCACAATTTATACACATATCGACTCAAAGTGCTGAACAAAACATGATAGAGACAGTCACACAAGGCATTCAAATCATAAACAGTACCTTAAAAAGAGTGACGATAAAATCCCTCAGCTAAACGGAACGGATTTTAACCTGGATTTGAACATAGTCAGAGAAGAAGTCTGTCTCACTTTTTTTCCAGATTTTAGCCGAATGAATCGAAAATGCAACCTTCCCATGTATAGTTCTGACTCTGGGTATAAGCAGGAGGCCAGTCCCTGTGCTCCTCAGAGTCAGAGTAGGTTCATATGCCACTCACATGTCACAGATATACTTAGGTGCGAGGCCACAGAGAGACTACACAAGCAGAGCTGAGTAAAAGTCTATTCACTGAGCCACAGGAAGCCAGTGCAGAGACCTGAGAACTGGACTAATGTGGTCGGACTTCCTGGTTCTAGTCAGGACTCGAGCTGCAAGACTGGAGCCATCAGCAGCGGTCTCATGGACAAAACAGCTCTGCTTCGGTCGCATCTGAAGGATCTGAGCGTGTCTTACCAAATAACGCATCCACCAAACGATACTGGGAGAGTTGATGGCGAGCCGAGCCATGTGTTTGTTCACATTGCTGTAGGATGTGTAGAGCATGCAGAAGCTGATGGAGGGTTGAACCACGGACATCAAGAAGGAAGTCACAAGTTCACTGTATAAAGGAAAAGAAAATCCTCTGTTATGAAACACAAAAAAGATGATTGTATCAAGTTATTATTGTAGCTGCAGTTTATCCATGGGTTTTGTCAGAACCGATAGTGACACAACAATAACCTCTTTATCGTGTGGGCCACAGTTATGTTTTGGAGGAAAAAGATCAAATAAAAGAAAAGCCTTTTGCTTCATTTCAGTGGAACATAAACAACCGTTATTCAATTTACTTCAAATCTTAAAGGTGGGTTGCCGGATATATTTTCTTGCATAATCTTCCAATAATAAATAATCTTGTTTATCCTAATCGAAAGAAAGACAGTGGCTGAGTGGATAGCACTCTCGCCTCTCAGCAAGAAGGTTCTGGGTTTCGAATCCCGGTTGGAAAAGGGCCTATCTGAGTGGAGTTTGCATGTTCTCCCCGTGTCTGTTGAGGTTTCCTCCGGGTACTCCGGTTTCCACTACCACTAAAAACATATACAATAGTTCAGGGTGAATGAGTGTGTGTTTTTGAACGCGAAAGTGGGACAACGGATGCAAATTAGCCCATAGCTACAATACGGAGTGATGTGTTCATTAACATGTACTGTCCCAAACAAATAACAAATAAAATAAATTGATCAGACCACAACCTGCTGTCTTCATCTTAGTAGTTTGTATACTAGGGGTTGATCAAAAGAAAAATACACACATGTGAAAACTAGCGATTGTACCAAACTGTTTTGAGAGCGCAGAACTACTGTTGTTAAACTGGGAAAATTCTGTGATTTGAAAGTTAGGTTCACCAGCTTTAACACATTCAAACAAGACACTATGAGGATTGACGAGGAATTGCAATGGAAAGCCAAAAACAAAGTCGACACAAAAATATTTCTTAAAAACGGGAATGCATTGTAGAACATTTCTGGCATTTGGAGCATATTGATGTCACTGAATCCAAAAAGGTAACGGGAGGGAGTTTGGTTGTTTTTACCCTTTGAGCCACAGGAGCATAGAGCAGATCCGAGCGCTGCAGACAGACGCCCACATGAGGTAGAAGAGCGGAGGGTGCAGCTCTGGGTTACAGGCCTCAGGACCCTGCACGTTCCTAATCACACAGATACACACAAGCTTAAGATACACACACAGATCCCTAATGCCAAAAGTATTGATACAGGTTGAACTTTTTCACATTGTGCCCTGTTTACAACCACAGACATGAAGATTGTGCTGAAAGTTGTAAAGTTGAAAGTGAAAGCAAAATGATGCATGATTCTTTTGTCTTATTTTCACTTCACAGTTGTTCAATGTGTGATACAAGCAATTATTCACAGAAAAACTATGAAAATAGGAATGTTTTTAAAAGAGATTGGTCAAATTCTCCAAAATTCCCCAATATCCTTGTATATTACTTGTGTGTGTGAACGTTCTAGCCTGGTCTCACCATACCATCGATATCATACTCATTTCATTTCATACATGTAGGGAAATAATAATTGAGCCAGGCTACAAAAGTTCAAACTGTATAAATACTTTTGAGAGGCAGTGTACAGTAGAAGAGTTTCAGATTACAGATTACAGATTACGTTTTGCACAGTCTGTAGAGCGCCTCCAGCAGCCAGGCCAAGGTCCAGCTGTCGACCAGTATCCAGTTGTTGTGGGCCCAGTGATCCATGTTCACCTCCAGACTCCAGGTCTCGTTACCCGCTGGGGCCACGGCTGCGAGGACGGACAGACGTTTGAGTTTGTGAAAGGCATTTTCCTTGTTTTAGTCTATGAACACTTACAAATAATCTACGTATGAGTAATAAAAGGGGTGAGATATAGACTGATGTTGAAAGGAGTTAGATTGTCCAACTGGTTTGTTTGACACATAAAAAGTTCCCATGAAAAGCAAAAATAGAAATCTCTGTTTTGGAAAATTTGTCAAAAAGTTGTATTCTTGTAGTTAAATCTTCAATATGTTTTGTTATTGGCAGTACATTTGAAAGAATTGTGAAGGGGTGAAACATTTTTGTATGGCACAAACATATATCTGGCTTTTCACAAAACTACTTGACAAATGGTAAATGGTAAAATGTTCATAAGTGAGTAAGTAAGATCTTTATTTATAGCGGTACTCAAAGCACTTCACATGAAGGCACCACTCACCCATTCACACACACTTTCATACAGCAGTGTATACTGTATGCACACACTGGGGGCGGGGCAGGTTAAGTGTCTTGCCCAAGGACACGCAGCAGCAGCCACCAATGGGCGCTGGTTTCACACACTGCTCACACACTCGAGCTACTGCTGCCAGAAATAGTTGCCTTTCATATAATTTTTAATGGCACTTATCTGTTTTTGCAAATGAACATATACAACCGGACGATGCCTCTTCAGACCTCCATATACTGTAGCACTATAGCTTATATCTCTGTTTAGTCCCAAAATATTGTCAAAAAAGTCCTTACATCATCTATAACAATCTGTCCACATTTACTTTCCTCGAAAATACTATTACAACCAATGTACACTTTATAATTATCCATGTAGTATTTTGTGTGTATTTATTTTTTGGATCAGTAATCATCCCTGCATCTGCATAACATAGACTTGTGTGTTTTCAAAAGTAAAGAAACTTAATTCATTATTTAAAAAGCACTTCACAAAAGGGAGTTGCTGAATTATAACTCACAGCTTTTATTGACCTATATTCAGCACATCTGCGTAAAATCATGTTTTACTATCTCCCATAATGCAAAGGTCGCTGTGGAATTCCTTGTAGAACGGCTTCATAATAAGAATATATTGAATTTCATAGTAAGTAAATTTAAGAGACTATATGCGACTCACCCTCGAGTACAGCGTGTTCCCCAAACAGAGCACAGAAGACCACGGCACAGACCTGGGTGACGAGGGCCAGGGCCACAGCGGCGCCGTGGATCACCTGGTGGGAGGCCTGGGACATGGGGACGGTCATCCTGGACGTCTGCTCTGGACACTGCCAACACGACTGTCCGGTCCTGTTTGACACTTGTACTTTGGAGCTACGAGTTTATGGCTTATTATATAACCTGTAATTACGTTATCACTACATTATGAGCTCATAATAAATCTGTTAGATAAATATGAGGATCCACCCAGCTGAAAAAACGTTCAAATGGATATGATCGAGAAAAGAAGATTTCAGATACTTTATTTTAAAAAAGTCCATAAATAAAGAATAGAAAAATGTTTGAGAAAAATCAAGAATACATTTTTAAGGAAGCAAAGTCGCTGCTTACAGAGTGCCCTGGAGTTCAGCCTCTTTGGACGGCTGAATGGTTCAGATTGAGCCAGCGATGAACAAAACAGGCCAGTTTCATAACAAAGCCTTCTACAGATCTATCATTCCTATCTCCAATATTTACACTTCTATCATACAGAAATGATTGCACTTCATACATATTTATAGAAAGATTTTGCTTTGTGTCAGTGCTATTTCCACAGGAGACATGCTGGGTTGACTCTCGCTGTATATGGGTCTTTTGTAGTGCCTCCATGAGACCAGCGCCACACGGACCAGAAATAAAAGGCAGCAGGTGATTAGGCTGAAAACTGTAAAAGTAATGACATATAAATCCACATGTATAATTCATATTGCAGCCGAACAGATTTGCATTTGTTTTTTTACCTCCAAAGATAAAATTATGGGTCCCAGGATCCAAAATGTCAATGTTCCCACTTAACCACAAGATGACGACAGGGTATATCGTGAATATGTAGCGCACGTGGGTCTCAAAGTAGAAGTTCTCAAACAAAAACCTAAAGAGAGAGAACTGTGACACACACTATGTACAGAATGGAGTATATTGGCTCTACTTTACCAGACAAAGAGCAGGATGAGCAGGAGCAGCTGGGACACGGTGGCGCAGTGGCAGCGGGAGGCTCCGGTCTGGTGCTGCAGGTAGATGGTCAGGTTGAGCAGCGTGGAGAGGGTCCCCCATGTGGCATACAGAGACACTCCATTCTGCACCTGTGAGGAACAAGCTCCTGTCAGACTCAGGCCAGTGCTTTTGTGGAGGTTTGTCTGAGCAGAGTCAGAATCAGAATTATGTTATTGCCATTGCAAGGCTCAAACTAGGAATTTGATTTGGCTCGAGATGCAAGTTGTAAGGCTAAAAATAAATAAAGACATGTACAAAAAATCCTCTCTTTCCCACTCCCAGGGCTTTGTCACTGAGGCTGTCTCCAATAACCGGGGACACATCATCTGTCAACATTTATTTTAGAAATAGAATTTTACCTGAGGTGAAAAGTTTCAGAACCCACATAAACGTACAGAGAAAAGCAACACAATAGATACTCTATGACCTGAGCTCTTTCATTGTGGCGCCCCCTGCATGCGAAAGCCAGAAACCTCTGAAACTGAGGGGCAGGATCTGGTAATTACTGTGATGGGAGACCTCTGGGAACACCAGGTGCCACAGTGAGGCAGCTGCTGCGGCTCTAAAGTGGCAACTCGTTTTGCCCTTAGGCCTTAAGACACTTCATCCACATTACCTAGAATGAGTTTGGTGTGTGTCTGAATAGTTGGTGACACACACTGGTTGTCTTGCTTCTGTCAGTGTGCCCCAGGGTAGCTGTCGCTTCAGTGTGCGAAGTCAATGAATGTGTCCGAGTGTCTTTGAGTGTCCAAAAAAGACACTTTTTTGCTGACTATTTAAAAACTTCTGAATACAGAGCTCTCATTTAAAAACCTTTCATGGAACACTGAAATTGCACGTATGAAACAATAAAAAATAAAGCATAATCACCAGGCTGTGTTCTGCCTCATCTCTGAAAGCCCCAACATGGGAGATTGAACACAAACTAATTAGCACTGACTAATTGTGGCTGTCTTTATGCTTCAAATGTTGTGACAACAAAGTCAAAGCGACACTATGACACATGCAGAGTTTCTGTCACTCTTAGACAACGTTACCAAGCAACAAACGGTGCACAAAATATACTCATAATTAATGCAAATCGCAATAACAGCAAGTCACACCACAACAAAAAGAGGAATTATAGTATTAGCATAAGTCACTCTAAAGGAAGCATTTCCATGTTTTGTGTAATTACTGGAGACTGTCTTTACAATGTTACCATAGAAAAGTCACAGAAAACGTAGAGAGCCATAACCATATCTCTGCTTTTTCCGATTGTTCTGTAAATATCTCTTGTTGTATGTGAATTTTCATTTTGTTATTTTTTTTTTCATGCTCTCTCCTATATTCTGTGTTTTAATACATTTTATTATTGTATAACTTTTTAATGAGAGACTATGTACACCTGTCCGAGGAGTTTAGCTGACATATAGCCTACTCCTGAACTGAACTGAACTATGAACTGATACAAAATAAGCCTTCCATGTCACTGTGGTCCCAACGCTTTATGTTGTGTCTGGCTTCTATCAGAATGAGTTCAAGGTTCGAGAACAGTGTCTTATTCATCTAAAATAGCTGCAACAAAACAGTTTATATTTCTGGAGAATCTGGATATCAAAAACCACTCCTTGACCATAAAACAAGGAGATAAGGTGTTGTTGAATGTGAACTGTATTTTTATTGTGTGATGAAGGTTTTTATTGCTCTCTCCAATATTCTGTGTTTACTACATTTTGTTATTGTATGACTTTTTAAGATCTTTAGGGAGACTATTTACACCTTTTCAGGGAGTGTAGATGAAAAATAACCCATACTTGGCCAATTCTGGTGCATTTACAGAAAGGTTTATCAAAGGTATAGGAGGATTTTCCCAAATCTTTGAAAAAGGACCGCCCTCTCCCCGTTGTATATGACACTCTCTTCTTTTTGGACGAGCATGTATTGCCAGAATGATTGACAATTGGGAGGATCAATAACCTTGATGATTCACCCGGAAGTAGAAAATCCTCCTATATACAATGTCCCTGTCAAATAAACTCATATAAAATTCCATGCAAATTAGAATGAGGTTTAATCAATCAATCAATCAATCAACGTTTATTTGTAGAGCGCCTTTCCTACACAAGGCAACGCAAAGCGCTTCACATCCCCTATCACATCATGCATAAATCAAACACATTAAGAGCACAAGATATATTAAAAACATTAAAAATAAAATAACAAAAATTAAAAACCTTTAAACATTAAAATCACAGATGGGACTAAAATCATAAATAGTCACAGTGCATTAAAAAGATTAAAGATAAAAACAAAGATGAAAAGATAAAATCATTCAGTTGTATATGCATATTCATATGGCACAAACATGTCATGGATGTACCTTGGCGCGAGACCATGGAGAGACTTGTACACAAGTAAAGCTGCTTTGAAGTCTATTCTCTGAGGAACAGGAAGCCAGTGCAGAGACCTGAGAACTGGACTAATGTGGTCGTACTTCCTAGTTCTGGTCAGGACTCGAGCTGCTGCATGTTGAATGTACTGCAGCTGTTTTACAGCCTGTTTGGACAGACCTGTGAGCAGGCCATTGCAATAGTCTAACCGACTGGAGACAAAAGCGTGTATAAGAGTCTCCAAGTCTGCCTTAGACACTATGTTTTTAATTTTAGCAATGTTTTTTAGGTGGTAATAAGCTGCTGATGTTACAGATTTTATGTGGCTTTTGAAATTTAAGTCTGAGTCCATTATCACTCCTAGATTTCTGACCTGATTTGAGGGTTGTAGAGAGAGAGCCTGGAGGTGACAAATAACGCTCTCTCTTTGTTTCTGGGGTCCGAAAACAATTATTTCAGTTTTGTCGGTGTTTAGTTGGAGAAAGTTATTTTGCATCCAATCACCGATTTGCTGGACACAGTGAAGGGAGCGAGTCCACTGGTTCATGCTCTCCTGCTGTCAGGGACACATAGACCTGAGTATCGTCAGCGTAATTGTGATAAGAGACATTATTACTGTGAATCAACTGACCTAGAGGCAACATGTAAATATTAAACAGAAGAGGACCCAGGATTGACCCCTGTGGCACTCCGCAGGTCAGGGCCAAGTGGTCTGAGGTACAGTTTTTGATCTCCACAAAAAACTTTCTGTCTTGTAAATAGGACCTAAACCAGCTTAGGGCGGTGCCAGCAACACCAACCCAGTCCTCAAGTCTCTGAATGAGGATGCCATGATCAATAGTGTCAAAAGCAGCACTTAAATCTAACAGAAAAAGGACTGAGACTTTTCCTGCGTCAGTGTTTAGTTTGATGTCATTTGTTACCTTTATTAGCGCGGTCTCAGTGCTGTGGTGGGGTCTAAACCCTGACTGGAACATATCATAAGCGTTATTGATTATTAAAAATTCTGTAAGTTGTTTATAGGCAACTTTTTCTAGAATTTTTCCCATGAAAGGCAGATTTGAAATGGGCCGATAATTTTTGAGTGCCAGGGCTTCCAGACTCCTCTTTTTTAGGAGGGGCCTGATGACCGCCGTTTTCAAGGCCATTGGGAATGTTCCAGATTCAAGAGACATATTAACTATTTGTGTAAGTGAAGGTAAAAGACTGCTCAGAACTGACTTGAGAAATCTAGGAGGTAATACATCCAGGCTGCATGTGGAGGAACTCAGACTAGTGATTATCTCCTGGACAGTTTCAATTTGTACTGGTGTAAAGTGCGTCAGCCCAAAAAGCCTCACTGGCGGTTGGATTATTATTTCTATCGTGGAGGTGATGGCGTTTTTGATACCTTGGACTTTGTCATTAAAGAACTGAGCAAACTCATTACATTTAGATTTGGAAGTAAGTTCTGATGGCATCTTAACAGGGGGATTCGTCAATCTATTTACTGTTGAAAACAGAACACGTAGATTGTTGCTACAGCCTTCAATAGTTTCAGAAAAGTACATTTCCCTCGTTCTACGTAGTTCCCTGTTAAAATTGCACAACGCATCTTTGAAGATCTCATGGTCAACTTTGAGATTTGACTTTCGCCACTTCCGCTCGGCCTTCCGGCACTCTCTCTTCTGTGCCCTGACCGAGTCTGCTTTAGTCCATGGCGCTTTTTGCTTGTTTGTAGTTTAAAAGAAGGAAACATGCTTTGTCATTGTCACTCTGGTCCTAACGCTTAAAGTTGTGTCCAGCTTCTATCAGAATGAGTTCAAGGTTCGAGAACAGTGTCTTATTCATCTAAAATAGCTGCAACAAAACTCTTTATATTTCTGGAGAATCTGGACATCAAAAACTACTCCTTGACCATAAAACGTGGAGATAAGGTGTGATGACTTTCAGATAATAAAACTCCCAGAGCAGCAGTGAAGTGAGCGTTCAGAAAATAGATGTTCGAGGTGAAACATGGACAGGAGCCGATCCGTTTCTGCAGAGTCAGCATCCTTTAGGGCTTCATTAAAATGTGGCCGTCTCAGCTGTGGCTTTGGAAACGGAAGAGGGACATCATTTTACAATTCCCACAGCATCACACAATAGATCCTTGGCCAGAGAATAAAAACACTGGCAATGGAGAAGTGAAGTGCATGAGATAAAAATAACCCAACAAAATGTAAGACAGTTGAATGCACACACCGACATGCAGACATTTTTAAGGACACGGTTTTTTATTTTATTTCACTGGCCAGGGAGTGTTTTGTAATGCTGTATATTTGCAGAAAATAGAAAAAGTCTTGTGCCTAGGATCACATTTCTTCTCTGCACAAAGGCGACCATAGAATACACTCCATCATAACAGACTTAAATACATAAATACGTATTTTATTTCATCAATCTATCTCTTTGATTTCCCACTTCATGATGCACTGCTTTTATATCTCACCTCCTCTTTCAATATTAATGTTTTTCAGCTCTAATGAATGTATTTATGTATTTTAGAATCATATACCTGAAGGCTGTATATTCGTAGTATAGACTAGCCTTTGAGCATGTACTCTACTTTAATCAAATTTTATACGCCAAGACTAACACTAACGGTGATTTAATATCCGCCACAAATTTTACAAGTGTGTCTACTCCAAAGTCCATGTGTGTGCATATAGGTGAAATCGTCTGAAATGTTTTATATGCATTTTTTTTTACAAGGTGTTAGCCAATTACCAACACCAGTTCAGCATTGTAATATCAAGATAAAATACACTGGTAAACAACACAATAATTTTGCGAGTGTCAGCTATAATTCATGTGTGTTTTGTCACCAGTATTCTGTAGAGCCAGAGGTCGATCCTGTGGTATTTGTGAAGCCACGCACCGTAGATCTTCAGTCCACGGCACGAGAAGAAAAGGAGAGTGTAGTCTGAGGCTGTCATGAGTCCAGAGGTGATCATCACAGAGAACAGCATCCTACACATGGTCGAAAATGTAACTGTGTGTCATCTCGTGGGGCATTACTCACTCTCTTGTACTTACTCTTTGTCAAATAGAAATAAAAAGGTGATGTTGAGGCAGAAGTTGACAATAAGACAAATATGAAATCCATATGGCAGGGCTGCAGGCGTGGTGTACATCCAGTCATACGCAGTCCTGCAAAGTGACTTATACAAATTTGTATACAAATATTCAAGGTTTGGGCAATAATAATACTGTTGAATGTCGTATAATGTTTAAGATGGTATTGATTAAAGCTGGGGTACCTTGTTTTCAAGCAACAAAAATACCTCATGCATCTCACAAGTTCCTCGCTCTCAAAACAGTTTGGTTCTATCACTGGTTTTCACACACACACACACACACAAAGACAGACAGACACACACACACACACACCACCCTCATTCAGCCAATCAGCTTTTTTCTCAAAGCGTCAACTGTTTTCTTACAAATCTAAAGTTAGGTACCCCAGCTTTAACACTATAACGATTGAGAAGATTATGATGAGACTTGCAATTGAAATGAATTATGATGGTTTTATCTCATTTCAATGTAAACCTTCTCTCATTCTTGATTTTAGACAAATCTAATACGATGGTGTTTTAATGGTACATACTGTAAAGGGAGAGTTTTACCTTCTGCAGAGTCCACTAATGAAATAAACAAACATTGCCAACACCCAAAAGTAAATGAAATCCCACACAAAATACGTCCATAGAGCCGGAGTGAACGGAGTGTTATATTTGAGCAGCACATCCTCTGTACTTTGGGTGAAAATACCTGGAAAACAAAACAAAAAAGCATGACATCTCCAGCACAAACCAAGCCAATGCATGTATGTATTTAATGAATTCTTATTGTTAAAAAACCACTCACCGGTTCTATCTCCAAAACTCGATAATGTGTTTAAAGTCAACGCTGCTAAAAATGTGAAAAATCCGACAAGCATAAGGACGGCGCGGGTGGAGTTCGGCATGCTGTCTCCTGGGAAAGGTTAAAGTCCATAAAAGAGTGTGATTTTTACACAAATGCTTCACTCAAAAGTTTCCTCCTGCGAGCATCCGTGGCGACCAGATACTGTAAGGACATATTGTGATGATAGATTGGCTCATCTCTTTATGGCCCGGCATAAGCTCTTATCAGTTGTCATAAAGAATGTTCTGTTTATTTTCTAAAGCAGGCGAAAGAGCAGCAGGGTCTGAACAATAACATGCTTCTGTCCTGTACTCGCTCTCCAAAAGTCAAGGTGGTGTTTGGAGACTAAAAACACAGTGTTCTGCCCATGGGTAGTTTTACAAATGGTCAATATGTAGATTCGTCTGTTGATAAGTAAGTTTCCCTTTTCTTTAGTTCTTCACTAAAGGAAAAGGGAACTTGTCGGGGAGATAACAGTGGTCTCAAATGTGTGTCATGCTATACCAAAAGTCGCTGAAGTAAATTTCTCCATTGTGAGATCAATAAAGTTTTTCTTATCTTATCTTATGCAATCATACAAGATATATTTTTTCATCTAAATATATGTATACGTTATTCCAATAAAGGTGGAAATTATTCTGGCATGTTTACTTTCATGTCTCTAATGTGTTTGTTCTTTGAAATTACACTCTCCCCGTAAATAAATAAATATATAAATAAATAAATATATAAATACATAAATAAATGAATAAATAAATAAATACATAAAAAGTATGTGACCTGTAAATGTCTCAAAATAGTACAAATGGGGAAAAAAGAGGCCAAGGGCTACTCCTTTAAGCAATCTAAATGTATTTTGTAGGTACAATGCTAAACTGAGGTACCATCTGCCAACAAAGCAATCTATAATAAATGCACCAAGTTTAAGTGTGCATTTACAAAATTAAAAATGTGAAATATTCTGGAGAACATTTTTAATTTTTTAATCCTTTTGGGAGCTACCTGGAAGAGGATGAGTTACTGATAAATCCCAAGCTATAAGTTGGAGACCCCTGGGTTAATCAGTCAATTTTGATCAAAATGTCTGTGATTTTGGGCTGTATACAAACATACATTTACTTAGAACATATTGTCTTCTTAGTAGATTCAGTGTCATGTGATGACACCTTCTGTCTGCTCTATCTCTACTTTTATCTCTATTTCTACCTCCTGCATGTTATATTTATGTACTTGTCCCGGGAGCACTCTGGGTACGATAAGATAAGATAAGATAAACCTTTATTAGTCTCACAGTGGAGAAATTTCAGTGTCAACGTTGCACATTACAGCAGAGAAAGGAAATAAGAGCACTCAGATTGCACACATCAAAGGCTATTATTTAAGATAATAGACAATAAATTTAAGATAAAATAAAATAAAATAAGAAACTCTGGGCTATAATTGCACTTGGTTCGGAGTATTTACAGATGTCTATATTACTGTTGTACTGTTGTATTCTGATGTGGTTTTACTGCAAATGGCAAATAAATCTGAATCTTACAATTTCCTGGTGTAGAAGAAAAACAAACACATTGATGATTTAATCCATTGTGTTCGACTGACTCCTGTGCTGACCACTCATATTACATGCAGCAAGAGAAAGTGTGTTAGCAGCTCCCCAACACACGGGGGCAGCACTGCACAGAGACAGCGCTTGTGTCTGGACCAGTCTTCACAGCAGCTTTTACTGTTCACTGCAGGAGACTTTTTTTACTCTCACTAAATATGTGTATTAGCCACAGAAGAGTGAGTACTTTGTTTATCCAACATCCTTTTTTTATCGAAAGAGGCAAAGTTCCTTCACCTGCTTTGATCTCAGTTATTGAAGTGATATGTATGTTTTAGATGATGACAATCAATCTATTTCCAAAACATAAAAAAATCCTGTACAATTGTACACTTTTTCTGGAAATCATGGGCACAATACAATCATCTAAGTTTTCATTATTACAAAAGTGCCCCTCAGTTTACACTCACAGCTTCTTGTGAGTTTTAAAATAATGTGGTAATTAAGACAGAATAACATTATAATGAAGGCCATTGCTAAAATGTTGTCTGGGCTTCAAAACAAAAAATTAAAATCTTCTATTTTCAAGGCAGCTTCCCACACGCTTTACTTTCCAGTCTTCCTGAAAATGTGAGACAGGCTTCTTCTCTGACCATGTTAAAAATCCAGGTTCTGTGCATTCAACTCTTTTTAATGTACTGTGATTATTTATTATTTTAACTTTGAGTTGGCTTGTGTATGAACTTCCAAGACAAACACACATGTCTGCCTATATCCAAGAGCATTTCTCCAAACTAAATAATAAAATAAGGAAATACTAGTGATTTACAACATTAATGATAATACAGTTATTACACACATTTTGAAGCTACAAAGTCCATTAATAAAACACAACAAAAGACAAAATAGTTTGATCTCTTGACGGGGAAAGAGTAATAAACAGTAACGTACAGAAAAACGGTTTTGAATGGGTCCAAATGAAGCGGAGATCCTGTTTTTGTAACGTCATGTGGGAGTCAGCGGGTGCAGCACTCAGGTCCATGCGCCCCTCTTAAGGACCCTCCATACTGGGGCTTGACATTTCCCTTCAGCTGCAGCCAGATGTGGCCTGGTGTCTGATCAACACGCTCTAATGAGTCATAGATTAAAGGACCCGTACAATGCAAATCCACATTTTTACTTTTTGTTTAATGTTTGTTTTGAGTAATCCTGTCTTCCTTCCCACCTTTCAGTATTATTACACTCCCGTTCAAAGGTTTATGTGATTAAAAGTAGCTGTTTTACTCGAACACAAACATGACACTTGTGGTAACACTATAGAGCAGTGAGAATGTGGTGCTATGGTTTGGAACAGAAAAATCCCAGACCCCAATGTAAGACGTTCAATATCATTTCCCGTCTCATGAATAAAATGTTGTACCTCTAGTTCAGCTTTAGAGAAATACACTTTCAAGAGGGGAAAACGAAAATGTACTTGCACATGAAGGGGCATTACAAAACTTTTCTGATGAGGGTTGAGGGTCTACTTGTTGCCATGGAGATATTTTTCTCTGAATTTACCTCAGTGGGATATGAAAACATTCACAATACTCCTTTTAAAGAGGGGAAAGTCTGAAAAAAAAATTGGGCTGGTTCATAGAGCGACATTTTTCCTTTGTTTATAGATTTATTCCAATGTATTCACCGCATTCTTTGTGATGTTTGTTTAAAGATATTTTTTTGCATCTGTGGTTATTATTATTTATTTATTTTTTACATTATGGAGGTAATTTGACCAAAGAATTACCTTTATTTAACATGAGTTTGGATTTTATTTCAGTTATGTTTGGATTGGACCAAAACTGGAGTTTTGGTGTAAATGTTTAGGATAAATCCAACTATGCCATTGCTTTGTTTTTGAAATTATATAAGTAACTAAGTAATCTATATTCATATAGCGCCTTTCACAGACCAGAGTCAAAAAGCACTTTACAGTTGTGGGCATTTGTCTCTCACTCCACAGAGATGGGAGCGGGGCCAGTACAGGAGGCACCTGCCCGACCTATTGTGAGAACATGCAAACTCCACTCACAAAGGCCCTGTTCCGAGCGGGATTCGAACCCATGAACATCTTGCTGAAATGCTGAGATATACATTGACATGCCATGGTATGCCACATTAACCTTTACCATCAATGCTTAACAATAACAATATAACAATAACTAATACTGAGCGCACTGAAATGGTCATGGGGCCCCATCTTGGACACATGCTGAACTCTGAACATTGTAAAGGGCTTTGGGTGTCCTTGGTCTGTAAAACGCACTATATAGATAAAGATTACTTACTCACTTCCCCCCGATCCACTGAAGGGAAACTGATAACAGAGTCAAAATGATTGCATTTGTCAGAAAACATAAGAGCAATTCACAACGAACGACAAAATACTCAATTGATCAAAGCATCCTCCACAAAAAGTTTGAACTCCACATTTTCCACATAATAATTCAGATGTAGAGATTGATTGCTGTGACCCAAACTGCGACAGAGGACAAGCCACAATTTGTTGGCTGCTCATCATCTAATGAATGGAATCATCTCTAATTACATGCTCCACATCTCACTTAAATGTCGGATATGTTTGTACAAGATCAATGTCACTTTGTAAATTAGTTATGATCCAATTTAGAACTTGAAAGTCTTTGTAAGTTTTCTTTCCGTTCACTCGAGAAATAACGTCTGAAATGTCAAAGGGGATGGGGGTGTGGTTGTGAAATCAAAAGTGTGTTTGTTGGCACATTTCAATCAGTCATTTGCGAAAACAGATAAGTGCCACTTGAAATATATTTGAATATTTACAATTTGCCATTTACCCAATTGTTTTGATGAGCCAGATATCTTTTAAGTACCATACAAAGAAACTTCCAACAACAAAACAAGTTGCAGATTGGAGAATATTGTTTTGATTCGTTACATGGTCATGGTTAAGGTTTATTTCATAATTTATTTTATCATTTGTTAACCCCTATGTCTCCTTTAGTTCTACTTCCTGTTTCCTTTGTACCTGCCCCGCCCTCATGTGTATCACCTGTGTCTTGTTAGTTTTGTATTTCAGCCCTGTGTCTTCCTTGTCTGTTTTAGTCCTTGTCCTAGTTCCCGGTTTGGTTACTTTTTGTGGTGTTTTGTGAATTTTGATTTGTATTAATTTTTTTTTTTTTTTTTTTTTTTTTTTTGGTCCCTTCTGCATTAAAGGACTTTTTATCAGAGTGCCTCGGATTTCACCCGGTCTTTATTTTCCATGCAAAAGGGTATTTTTTGTTTTTCTGTATTACTTTTTATTGAATCCATTATTTTTTTTAACCTCCTTAACTACATTAGCAGGACCAGAAAGGACCTTGAACGAGGGGTTTCAAACTGCATCCATAGAGGTGCTGGTGTGGCTGCAGGTTTTCATTCCAACCAAGCAGGAGCACACCCGACTCCACCCATTTCCTCAAGTCTTCAGGTTAATATTGGACTCACTTGATGAAATGGGT